CCCGCGGACGGGCTGGACGGGGCGGCCGAGCGCAGGCGGCTCCGATGGGCGGGGGAGCTGCTTGGGACGGGCGGGAGCTGCGAGCCCCGGCGCCGAGCGGGCCTGGGTCCAGTCTGGCCCGAGACCGACGTGCCCCGAGGGACGCGGCTGCGACCTGGCGAGCAAAACACGGACGGCTCTGGCCTTCGGATGCCGGGAGCCGCCGGGACCGGGATTGGGACCGTCCTGCCACCGCGCTCCTTGTCCAACACCTAGAGACACCGCTCATTCTCCTCAGACCTGTCTAAGGACACTTCAAACAGAGTTTAAAAACACTTGGCAGGGTCCCCAGGCCCCTTGTACCATCACTACTATTGTTTAGTCGGTCTAGTAAAAGATACCACATCTACCCAAAGAGCCGTGCCTTCCACTGCTACTACTACTACTAGTATTATGATGATTATTATAGTGGAAATGCATCCGGCTGAAGGAAGAATGAATGGGATTCTTCCAAAACTGGGACCGAAAGTGGCATGTCCCTGAGCTAGGGCAGCATCAGGCAAAACTTCCTTCTCTTGCCATGGATGGAGATCTCATTTCGCTTTGTTGTCTGTTATTTTAATGTTGTTCGTCGCTGCATCTCTCTCTCTCTCTTCTAGGCTCTCTCCCTTCTCAGGGCTGTTGAGTTGCAGGAAGCAGGGAGTATGAAAGGGCCAGGAGAGAGGGAGAGGGGAGAGAATTGCTCTGAGCTGCTATGGAGTGAAATTCAGTTCCCTGGGGAGTTAGCAGACAGTTTGTGGAGATGTTACTCCAGAGTTTCAGACTATGATAAATATGATAATTTGTATAAAATTTGAATGGGTTCTTGTTTTCAGGGAGAATGCCTCCGATGATGAATGTTCATGATTTTCAGATAGATGGCTGATAAAAAGTGTATTGAATTGTTGAAAGCGATTTTAATTTTAATTCTCTACCTGCAGATGTCTGATAATAATAATGTCTCCTAATAAAATAGGAAGGTGTCAGTTTAAGCAGCAGTATCTCGCTTCACTTCATCCTTCCCATCCCCAGACTGTGGCAACATTAACCTCTTCTTATAAAAAGGCACATAAAATTATTATAATTACAGAGTTATTAATTTTAAAAAGAGGGTTAGCAGGATTTTTTATTATTATTAATAGAGCTCGCACACTACCCCTGGAAGTATATCCCTGTGTGAAATGATGGATCCGATTGCTAATTCTATTATTAGATATTGCCTAGGAATTGCCTTTCGGGTTTTTAATTAGAGTAATTGAAAGCAAAAGAGGTGGGGCTAATTATTTTTTATTTTTCTCCCCTTTGTTATTATTTAAAAGCCATCGATGATGTTCCTGCCTCCAGATCTTCGCGTCAGAAGCAGACTTCCAGCAGAGCAGCAAAGGGAAAAGGGAAAGACCTGTGCTTTTTTAGGGCTGAAAGTCCCAAACCGGTAGTGTGCGTGTATGAGGTTAATTGGGTTTTGTGAATTTGGACAGCTCATAGGATACCTTCCCCAAACCCCCTCCGCTTGCCTCTGATGCGGGCTGATATTTCATGTTAAAAAAACAAAAATAAAAAAAAACCAAAAAAAAAACAAAAAACCCAACAACAACAACTCTGGTAACATGAAATCAATGACCTGGCAGTTACACTCTAATTAGCGCCTCCTGCGAAGCAGCCCAGAGCCAGCCCAGGAAAATCAAACACAAACGCGCACAGAACTGAGGGCGCACGTTGTTCGAAGGGCTCTGCTCCGGCCCCAGCCCTGGGCAGCCCAGATCCAGCCAAAGCCTCGTTAAAAACAAAACATGTTCGCCATCAGAAACATAAAATCGACTAGAAGGAAGAAACGCGCACGGCCAAGTGTCGAGCGCTGCCGTGTCGGGGACTGGGGCGGAAAATGGATCCGCTGCAACATGCAAAACTCGGCTCCCGGCCGCCCCGGCCGCGGCGAGGCAGCCCCCAAAGAGCCCAGGGTAGTTCGCATGGCTCTTTCGCCTCTCCCTGAAAGGCAGCGGCAGTGTTTCCATTCATCAGGGGCTGGAATCTGGTGCTTCTGGTTGAAGCAAAGTGGGATGACAGGGGAAAAAAGAGCTGGAGGAATGATTCACTATTGTGTGTGAAGAATTAGGGTGGAAATGCCTGGGAGAGGAGTGTGGTTTAAACAGCCACCGCCAAATCCTCTTGGCAAAGAGCAGAGGGGATGGTGCAGAGCTTAGCGAGCTTTACACCGGAGCGAGTGAATGTTACATTCGGGGACAGATGGGTACATACACACACACACACACACACACACACACACACACACACACACACACAGAGCCACTTATACATATTCATACCTAAATATATATACATATATATAAATATATGCATACATGCATATATGCATATCTACCTATTTATAATATGTGTACATGCATACATATATGTATTTAGCTGCAATTTGCCCGTGCACATATATATGTATGTTTATGCGCCTATTTATATGTATTTATATACATATATATACATACGCTCGTGCACCTACATATCATGTATATAAAAACATAAATCAATGCCCATATCCGTGTCTATATGCAGGTATATATCCTTGCGTGTGTGTATATGAAATAACTAGGTGCCTTTAAAAGAATTTGTATTATACAACAACATAAAGGTATATTGAACAGAGAACTTGTTTATGTATATTTATGTCCATGTTTCTACATGCATGTGTATGTTTGTGCATCTATATACACTTGTAGTTATATATATATGACTAATCTATATAGCTATACAGAGAATCAGAGAAGTGGTAAAATATTTTGTAATGAGAGAATGGTAATGTTATGGTTATATTAAGGCATATACAGTTTATGTGTGTGTGTGTGCGCGCGCGCGCGCGCTGAGTGTGTAATTTCCCCTCGAAATTAAAACAGTCTTAAATTTGGAGTTGTTGGGCAGGGGAGGGCATTCCCCCAAGCGTCAGTGGCCTGGTCACCCCCTTTTCTCTGTCTGTTGCAGACAGCACCCCCCACCCCCCACCCCATGAGAGTGCTGGAAGCCGGAGATGGGAGAGGACATTTATTCAGGGCAATTAGAGAGCAGGTACCGCTTCAAAAATGGATTTGTTAAGAGGGGACGGAGTTCAAATTATTGTAAAAAAAAAAAAAAGAAAGAAAGAAAGAGAAAGAAATGCGCTGAAACGATTGCACCAAAGTAGGGAAGCAGAAGCAGCTTGGCGTGTAAGGTATCATATTGGAACTGCTTCTGCTTTAGACCTCGGGATTAATCAAAGAAATCGGTGCATTTGATGAGGAGTTATTCAGCAGCTGAGCTCTGGAAAACTGCATCCCTGCTTTCTTTATACATTTTATTATTTTCAATTGGGTTGAAAAATTAGGAGTGTTTAGAGAAAAGAAATACACATTTCTTCTTCCAGCGGGCTGGAAAGCTTTTATTTTCCCTGTTCTTTTCTTTCCTTTCCCTTTCTATTTTTTTTCCTTCCCCTTTCCCTTCCTCCTTCTAAAGTTTTTAGAGGGAGGGTGATTGCCGGGGGTGGGGACAGGCTGCATTTGAGGAAACCGGAGCCTGGTCTGGGTGCTCTGGTCCTCACTGGTTTGTCTTCCTGATTCTGTTCTTACCCACCACACCCCAAACATTTTATTGTTCGGGTTTTCATTCAGTAGCCCAATCGTCTGAGTGAGTAGCCAAGGCTCCTTCACCCAGCTTTCAACTCACCCCCCCCCCCCCCCCCCCCCCCC